GTAAAATAACTATTAATTTAAGATAATATTTTTAAAAGTTTAGTCATGTTTTCCTGCCCAGCGTGCTATAGTTTATAACAGCGCTCCCCAACCTTTTTGGTACCAGGGACTGGTTTCGCAGAAGACAATTTTCCCATTGACTGGGGGCAGAAGGGGGATGGTTTCCAGATGATTCAAGAGCATCACATTTATTATGCACTTTATTTCTATTATTATTACATCAGCTCCACCTCGGATCATCAGGTACTAGATCCTAGAGGTTGGGAACCCCTGGTTTACAGAGCCCAGGCTTGACTTTATTTAATCCATACAACCTGCAAACATCAGATTACAAAGCTAGAAAGGGATATAGCCCAGAACAAACAGTTCTTTGGAGTCCTAGTCTAGAGCTCTTTTCATTCACCAACAACTGCTTCCGGATTCCTACAACCTGGTTTGTCTTGGGTACAATCTAATTTTTTTTTTTTTCTCCCCTGAACTGAGATTTAGCAGTTCACTTACATGGCCAGCTAATTTCAGGGAGTTCTATCCTGCTAAGGTCACTCCCCACAACCCCACAGTCTTCAAGGTGGAGTAGACAGAGATGCATTGCTCTACAAGAGGAAAATACTTAAGTGCATTCACAGTACCATTTAACTATAGCCAAAATAACTTCTTATTTAAGCTTTATATTAATAGGTATTATTATTTATCTTTAACATACAGACTGACCTAGCACTCTCACAGGATCACTACTTCCGAAGCCATCTGTCATGTGCAGTATGTGAGATGTTTCCAGGAACCAGCCATAATGCCACACATAGTTCAGGCATTCAGTTTCTTTATAACCTATGCCATTCACTGGATAAAAATAAGCCTCTTAATTGCTACAAATGTTACAACTTTAGTAAACACAGGGAAAATGACCATGAAAATTCTTGTTCTGTGAGATTCATTGGTTATCTCCCGAGAAAGGCCTAAAAAGAGATACTGAACAAAGCAGGGATACACATTTTCATTTTACCAAGTTCTATCTGATAGAACATTTTACAAAGTCCTATCAGAAATGGCTGGCAAGAGTATACTATCAAGCATTTAAAAAAAACAAACAGCGAAAACCTACTTAATCTGTCCCTTCAAGGTGAAGATGAGTCTATTAATTAGTGAGAACATTACTGTTTTTCTAAACTCATGCTTATGGGGAAAGTATTTTGAAAACCTGACTGAAATGGTTGCAAAATTGATATTTTTAACTTTATTTTTGGCCACCCCATGTGGCATGTGGGATCCTAGTTCTCCAACCAGGGATCAGACCCATATCCCCTGCATTGGAAACTGGAAATCTTAACCACTGGACTGCCAGGGAAGTCCCTGTTATTTTTTTAATTATCAAAAAGAGTGTGTTTCATCAGTAAAAATTTTGTCTGCACACTTGAAAACTAAGAAACAAAATTTTAAATTTGTTTAAAAAATCTAAATGATACTTCCAAGGGGGTTTGAACCCATATGCTAAAATATAAAATGTAAAACCTTCCCATCATCCAAGAAGGACTGATTGACTTAAGCTGTAAATTTACTAGTTGAATTTCGATCAAAAGTCTTTGCATCTTGGTGAATGGGACTGGAAGATGAGTATCATAATTTAATAAATGCAATCAAGAATGTACTTCTGCTTGAGTCTACCTCTTTGACAAGTATCTTTTCCAGTCATGATTCATTCCAATCATTAACATTCACTAAAAAATATGATTTTAAAACATACTTCATCTTTATTTTAAATAATCTTTCAATATTTCTACTCTAGAGCAAGATTCATAAAGTATGTAATAAAATATATGCTGGCTTCCTGGTGGCTCAGAGGTCAAGAATCCGCCTGCCAATCAGGAGATGCGGGTTCAATCCCTGCATTGGGAAGAGCCCCTGGAGAAGGAAATGGCTACTCACTCCAGTTTCTTGCCTGGGAAATCCTACGGACAGAGGAGCCTGGCGGGCTACATTCCATGGGTTGCAGAAGAGTTGGACGCGACTTAGGATCTAAACAACAATAAAATACATGTAAATAATTGCTTAAAAATATTACGTAGATTAAAGAAGCATGGTAAGAAAAATGTTTGGTGACCACTGATCTATCACTACCGAGTGTACACAATTGGGACCATTGTTTTTGCAGGTAGTATAGAAAGGGAATAAACAAGGTCAGTAGCAATTTGAACTGTGTTGCCTGATTCCCGGCAGAACTCCTGTCTTTGGAGGTTCTGGCTTACGGGTTGGTAGAGATGGGGTGCAAGTCTTTCTTTTATATACCAACTTGTATCCGGTATAATTCAGGTTATTAGTTTCTTTTTCCTCTTGCTCTTTGCAAACTCATCACTTCTAGCAGTGATGAGTGCTGAGGTCACTCAGCTCGCTCTTTATGGATGTGTATGGGTAAACACACATACACATGGATTTCACCCCAGAACAATCAAGGTGGTGTGGAAGGCAGAGACCACGAGCAAACACACCACCGCCCATAGGGTATTTTACGATAGCATTCACCCAGGCGCAAAGACCAAGGTCACTTCCCAGTCCTATTAAAAAGCTTCCTTTTGGTCTTAATTATTTTTAATCATAACGCTTGGGACCTCCTGACTAATGTCATGTTACTTGGAAAGATTTAGGAACTGTGATTCTATGAGAGGAGGTTATGAAAATAGAACTGTCCCTGAAAGGATTTTCCATCGAGCTCAAAAACAGTTTACCCAGACTGGTAGTAACATGCCCAAACAATCGGGGCGGCAAGACCAGAAGGGTCTCTTCCGTGGGTCTAAGAAGTGAGGAGGGCCATCGAAACGGGAGAAAACTGTCGAGAGCTCCTGGCACCCGGGCTGGAGGCCGCGACAAATGTCTGAAAAATGAGAAATGCGGTGGAGGTAAAGCGAGCGGTGGCGGGGGCGGGGTGGGAGCAGAGGTGACGACGGTGCACGCCGAAACTGGCCCACGTGAGGAGGGGGCCTAGGCGCGCCGGGCACCGCAGCAGGGGGGCAAGGGGGGTAGAAAACAAAGGTCAGGTCTTGTGAATTCAGGGCAGTAAAAAGGGGAAAAGCACCCAAGGGAAAGCAGCGAGTAGGTGGCCGCAGTGGTGACGGCGTCGGGGACTGCGCGCCGTGATTCTCGGGGTCCGGGCCGGGGTCGCCGGCGAGCCAGGCCGGGAAAAGCCGGGGATCCGGCTAAGCCCGGGATCGGTTAGGCCGCACCGAAAGGCAGGGCCGGCGACTGTGGGGCCGCGGCGGGGACCGGCCGAGGACCAGCGGCGAGGGGTCGCGGCGGGGCAGGGCGCGCAGGGAGACCGGGAGAGAGGCGGGCGGGGCGGGAGCCGCGGCCGCAGCGCCCAAAGAAGGGAAGGGCGGTCGGCTTCCCGCCCCCGCCCCCTGCCGCGGCGTGAGTGCGGGGGGAAAGGCCGGCGGGCAGCGCTGGGAGGAGGGGCAGGCTGCGGCCCCGCCCCCGCCGGAGCGAGGGTAGGAGAAAGGCTCGCGGGGAAGGCGGAGGGCGGGCAGCGCGGGGAGGGGGCGGCCGGCGGGGCCTGCGCCCGAGCGAGCGGCGAGCCGGGCGGGGGGGGTGGGGGGGGGAAGGGGCCCGGAAGGAGGCGAGCGCGGCCGCGACGCCGGGAGCCGGACGCCCGCCGGTGCCGGCCTGCCGCCGCCGCCTTTCCTGCCTGCGCCCTAGCGCGGAGTCTCGCGGCTGCGGAGGCCGGAGTGCGGCGGTCGGGCGTGGGGCGAGCGGGCAAGCGGGGCCGGGAGCCGGAGGCCGCCGGCGGTCCTGCGCCAGGCGCGGTGGGCTCTTGCCTGCGAGGTTAGGCGAGGGGCGGAAAGGGAGGAAAAAGAGAGGCCGAGCGAGAGAAGCCAGGCGATCGGATTGTCCAGGAGGCTGGTGTGGAGGAATATCCCACCCCGAACTCAAATCCACAATAATAATCCAAACTATTAATAATAAGGGGCAGTTTTCCTGGCCAGGCGAGAGGGAGAGCAGGGGAAACGGGAAGAAGCGAAAGCTTCGTTTCATGGAGGCTGAGGCTAGAGAAAATTTCGGAGCCTGGATGTGGAGGAGCAAAACAGAACTAACTCAGGAAATTGTCTTTCATAAAAAGGCCGAACCTAGGCTGGGAATCAGGCTGGGGTAGGTGGAGAAACCTGCAAGTTTAAAGGAAAAAAAGAATATTTTCAGAGATTTGTCTCTGGTTTGTGGTATTGCTACCATTTTAAAGGTAAAAAGCATTGCATTCAGGTGTCTTTTTTTTTTTTTTTTTGGTGCGATTGGCTCATTTAAGAATTTCAGAACCTTTTCATCTAAAAGCTTTTTTTTTAAAGGAAATTTATAATTTTCATTTCCCAGGGTTGCACTGGACTTGTAAGGAGTGCTGTTGTGTACATACTATTGTATGATTTTATTTATTTTTTTACTGTGCAAATCAGCTGGAAGATTTTTTTCCAGGTGTCAGTTTGGATTTTTTCATCTTTTTTTTTTTTTTGGTCCTTCAGTATAGCTGTTGTCCTTTTAAGCATTGGAGACCAGAGAATTATTTTTTTCCGGTTTGGAGCTTGAGGCTCTTGCCAACGTAAGGACAGCTGGGAAAACTGGATTAAAAGGATGTTTTTAATCTATATTTTGCAGTTAAGATTGATATTTTGAAGGCACATTCTTTCTGTGATTCTTTTTTTTTTTTTTAAAGCCCATAGCGCTAACCTTGAAGAGATTTGTGGTTGGGTTTTTGGTTTCTAAGAAGGTCATATTTTTTTCTCTTTTTCTTTCGGTTTTTTTTTTTTTAAGGGGGGAGGGGAAAGGGGGGCTAAGAAAGGAGACCATGTTAACTGGTAGAAGTAGAATGGAGCTTCAGTCACCCGGGTCCTGAGAGCTGGAGGAAAAAGGATTGTCTTCAAGTTGGGAGGCCCTCCTCTCACCTTTCTTAAAAATTGCAAGCGATTCAATCCTGATCAAGACATCACAACTATAAGATTCTGAAACCGTGGAGACACCGAGAAACCATGAGTGTAAGGTTACCCCAGAGTATAGACAGGTAAGTTTGCTAATAATGTGGTTTTTCAACACTTACTTAAGGAAAGACTGGGAAAGAAGGTGTTGCATTTTGATAAAAGATTGCAAAATAAGGGTCTGGGTGGGCTGTGGGTATTGGTGGGGTCCCTGGGGGCTGTCTGGGCATGTGTGTTTATGTTCCCACTGTGTGTGTCCATGTTCAAATGGTATCTCCTGAATCAGTGTTTTTTAAATGCAAGCAGTAGACAGTGACGCAAGGAGTGGGAAAGAGGGGGAAACGCTTTCTAGCCGCCTTTGACTTTTGCCAGGCCAGAGGCTGATTCTGAGTCCCTAACTTGCCAGCTTCGGGGTGGGAGGCGGGCACAAGCCTGGTCACGTGAGACCCCTAGGGTGATTGGGACTGGCTTTAGGTGTTGGAGCTGCGGGGGGAAGGGCCCTGGCAGGGGCGTGGGCCTCCACCGGCTGGTTGTTGTGGAATGGTGGGGCTTGGTGATGGGGTGGATCCCATTTCTAGAATTAGGAGGATGTTCTTGGCCTGAATGATGGGACAGAAACACACTTTGCACCCGTACAGGTCTGGATTTTTACCAGTGGCTGATAATGGCCTGCAGAATAGCATAGGTCAACCCTAGAATTTCTTCTTCTCCAAGCTTGGAGTTTAAATTGAAATTGGCCAACCAGCTAATGCTCTAGGTTTAATCTGCCAAGCTGTTTTTAATAAGCTTGACTCTGCAAAATGGGCCTTCCCTCTGCCTAGAGCCGGAAGGATTTGTTTTGGGCTCTTAGGCCTGATATGCAGAGGCACTGGCCATTAAGAGTCTGAGCACAGGATATCCCACACCCTCTCCCCTCCCCACCCACCCCTACCAGAGTTTGCCCAGCCTCATCAGTACATTACAGTTTACAACTTCATAAGGTATCTGCCTTTTCTTTTCCTCCCCTTCTCTTCAACCCTTAGAGAACCTAGAGAGAGAGTAGTTTTGTGGGTGCTGCACATCCTAACTGGATGGATGGGTGGTTGGCGGACTGAACAAGCAAATGAAAGAACTGGGCCTGGGGGGTGGGAATTACTGGAGAGATAGGGAAGAATATTTGCAAAGGAGCAATGAGTTGTTTTCTCCCTGTCCAGTTAACCTTTGATTATCCATGCTGATAATTTCTTTTTGGCAGTGGAATGTGGCCTGAAATGCACATAATCTCTCTCTCTCTCCCAAACACTAATCTCTGTATTGCCTCTGAGCCCCGTTTAGATTAGTTCAGCAGTCCCTAGACGGGGACCTGACTTGGCAGTGGAGAGAAGGCAGACAGCCACAAAGGACAGATAATGTACGTGACTGCTTAAACCTCCATCTCTTCCCCTTTTTGTGGCTTCTCTTTAGTTTGACTCTTGTCAAGGCAGGGAGTTGAAATGGTTACATGACTGCCCTTCACTTTTACCCTGTTGGAATTTGGGAATTAACACACTTGCTTTTTTGAGATTTGGGGTGAACTGTTCCTCTGAATTCAGAGTTGTGAGAAGGTAGAAACCCAGGTGTTGGGGGTGAAAGATGGAGGCAATGAAGGTTCCTGGGCTGGAGTGAGATGCTCCTCTGGGACTTTGGACACCCTCACAATCTTCTCAGGATGTGTATAGCATGGTTTTTCTGAGTGCTTTCATAGGAATGTATCTATTTGAACCTCCCAATATTTCCGTGAGGCAGACAAGACAGGTTTTCATTCCCATTTTACAGAAGGGGTGATTGAGGCTCAGAGAGGATACCTGGCTAGCCCAGTTCTATCTTCCCTGACTAGTGGCAGAAGCTGGACTCAGATGCAGGTCAGGTCTTCTAAACTTTTGAGGCTCTTACTGTTATCCTACCCTAAGTATTGGGTTGGCCAAAAAGGTCATTCCAGTTTTTCCCTATAGTCTTATAAACCCAAAAGAACTTTTTGGCCAGCCCAGGATATTTGTCTACTAGTCCTGTGAAATGGGAGTGGGGCACAGTTTTATTCTTTCTGGCAGCAGAGTACGATGCTTTTTGGCACCCCCTTGCACTTGGGATAGTGCAGCTTTGCAGGTTGAGAGCATTCTTCACTTCCACTCCCACCCCAATTCTCTTCCTCATCAGCCGGTCAGTTCTGGGGCTTGAATCCCCTTAAAGATATCTCCAGCTGCATTGGATCTTTACCCCTTTAGCAGCAGGTTCGTTCTGTTGGATCTTTTGACATCTCAGGTTCGATACCCCAGTGGATTTTAAATATTTCACAGTGTTACACAATTTTATACCATACTGGAGGGATTGAGTGGAAGGATTTCAGACTGTTGAGGCAGGGACTCTCTTTTAGTTTATCCATTTGCTGTGTAGGGAGCCTAGTGTAAGGTACTGTGTTCTAAGAGTGTTTCAGAAAATTTAAGTGAGAAGTTCTTGCTTAAAAAGAGCATGCAGTCTTAACTTGAGAAACTGGGAAAGGTACGAGAGAGATAAAAGTAACACTCTACTATAAACTCTGTAAAGGCAGGAATTGGGTTTTCTTTGCTCAGATACATCCCTGCATGCCTGACTTAGTGCCTTCCGTTGGATGAATGCTCACTAAATACTTGACATGAACGAATATAGCAGTGAATAATATGTCAGCACGTATAAGTTCATCCATTTCAGATTTTTCGAGTTTCCTGTGTTAATTTCAAATGTAGTCAAAGTAAGGTCAATTAGAGAAGGCTTCCTTGATGATGTGTATTTTCTAGGACATAAGCAACATGATGGAGGACCACGTCTATGAAGAGAGATTGTGGCTCAAGGAATAGAAGGCTGTGGAGAGTCTTTAATCCTCTCTGGGGACCAGGAGTGAGTGACTCCTGGTCCAAAGAAACATGAAATATTCACAGCTAATCTTGATCTTGCAGTGTTAATCAGTTGTTACTGAAAGATGGGCTGAATTGTAGCTGTTATGTCCCTTTCAGTTTTTGTCCGTGGACAGTTTATTGCCCATTAGTGTGTTCTTCTCAAAAGTTGCTAAAAATGTGTTTGATATTGCAAGCAGAGATAATAATAGTGAATTATTTTTATAGGAATGATAATGAGTTTTGCTATGCCATGTATATCCATTTCCCTAGTTCTCCATGGCAAATGTTTTTGAGATGGCCAGATGGGTTAGGCGTTTGTATCCATAAAACAGCTTTTCTCTGTGCAGAGACAGTTAGCTCATGTGAGGACCAGAGCAGATGGAGAAGTACTAGATACAAGCCGAGTTCTTGGTTTGAGCCCTGGCATTCCCCTTAACTGTGTGACCTTGGGCAAATCACATGCCTCCTTTGCTTTCCTCATATGTAAGGCAGTAGCTCGTTTATATGAAATGCTTTCCAGTCACAAACATTTTCACATAGCTTGTCATTTGAGGATTATAATATTTATTGCATCTTTCTCATGGTGCTGTTGACAGGAGCAAATCAAATCAGGTAATATTTCACATTTCTTTCTAAACTGTAAAGCTCTAGAAATTTTAGATGGTAAACTCAGGGATTTGATTTAGCTTTGGGCACTACTTTCTGAGCTGGCCCAAAACAAATTAAGAGTGACCGAAAGATGTTTCTCTTGTTTTGAAGAATTTAACCAGGGTGGACAGGCTTTTTTGCTGCAGAAGTACAGGAGGTTAGAAAGAAGGCATACTTTTCCAATGGGTGGGTGATGATAGTAGAATATGAGAAGGGGAAGGTTATTGAATCTCCTTCCCAGGAATTTTGATGAATGGGAGAGGCTTGAGCTACCTTGGCTTCCTTAGATGGGGATAGAAAGGATTTGTTTTATGATCTCTGGCTGTTCCTTGTTTTAGAAGCATATGACTTTCCTAATTCAGAATAAACCAAGACCCAAGCAACTGTTCCTTATCAGGGATCTGAGATTGAATGTAACTTTTCCCCAGCCTGTAGCCTTTTTTTTTTTTTTTCTCCCAGAGGAGGCAAAATCTGGAGTGAGGTGTATGGAGGAGGAGGTGGAGGGAGGTGGAGGAGGGAGGAAAGAAGCTTCAGGCTGAGGAATGTTTGTAGAGAAGAAAAACTGGTAGCCTAGGCTGAGGAGGAGGTGGGGGAAAACCCTTCCCACCTCAGGCTCCCCGCTCCCACTTCAGGTTCTTGTTGAGCCCTGGGAATAAGACATACAGCTGAGTTTCTACCTAGTTTAGATGTTGGCCTCCCAGAGCAACAGCTTCCCTGGTGGTTCAGACAGTAAAGTGTCTGCCTGCAATGTGGGAGACCCGGGTTCAGTCCTTGGGTTGGGAAGATCCCCTGGAGAAGGAAATGGCAACCCACTCCAGTGTTCTTGCCTGGAAAATCCCATGGACAGAGGAGCCTGGTAGGCTACAGTCCATGGGGTCGCAAAGAGTCAGACACGACTGAGTGACTTCACTCCCAGAACAATGAGAGGGATCCAGAGCTCCAAATAATAAGTCCCCTGAAATGCTGAGTCTTCTCCAAAATGTACCCTGGTGCTCTCCAGGCGTGAGATTAGAGATGGCAATGGATTTGCACATGAAACATTTGGCGATTAATCACCATTATGAACCGGAGCAGTCTAAGCTTACCTTCACATACTCAAAAACTTTTCTGAAAGAGCACCCTTTGATGAACAAATTTATTTAGTGTTTTTTTTTAATAGTCAAAGTACTGTCAGAGTCCCTTTCATTGTATTTAGGAGAGTAGACCAAAAAATGTGAAAAGTTTAATGACAGTGAGTTCGTCAAAAATAAAAATGATTCTGTGAAGGTCACATGGCTAGTCCCCAAATTGGTACAAAGACAAAGGAGTTCTGGAAGCTTGTAACCTCCATGGAATAGAGTTTGGAAACTTTTGGATAGTGTCCCTTACTGCTTTAAAGATCTGGGCCTCCGCTGTATGTGAAAGGGCTTTGTTAGCGCTGAAGTTCCATGAAACATAAGAGGACTGGTTTTAATCTATACTGACTGAATCTGCTTCACATCTTCATTAGTGGCACTGCCTTTAAAAACCCATTTTATTGGTTTATTATTTTTAAAACTTAATTTCAAGAT